ATTCTGTGTGCTTGGGAAGGTTGGAGATCGTTCTCGGCGCCAGAATAGCAGTTTTCATTTTCCCCCATTGACTTATAATGGTGAGGTCACGAAAATGACCTGACCTCATATGACCTTAAACAAAAATCGGAGATAAACAAATTGTGAGACTCGTAATGGATACTATATTCTGCAAAGTTCATTTCCCTGTGAAAGCTCCTCTGACAGTGAGGGCGTTGCGAAGTTGCGACATCTGGAGACCGTGCAGAGGTTCACTTATGACGTCATAGGTCAGTGACCTGATCTGATTAAAAAATTTAGTTGATGTCAAAAGATCCGGCTTGAATCAAAGGTCAGGTATGCCAAGTTTCAGCTCTCTATCACCAGCGTGTTCGGAGCTATCGCGAAAAACTCTATGGGAGGGGGCGGCACCCGCCCCCCCCCCTCAGCCGGCGAGGGTTAACCCGCGCCCTGCTGGGGGGGGGGGGTGTTTGAACACCCCCCCTTGTGGTTTTTCGCGATTTTAGTACACCTTATCATACATCAATTCTACACATGTTGTGAAAATTTCAGACCAAGGTCATTCAAGGTCAGGTCACCAGGTCACTTGAAGTGACCTCACCTCATAAAAAGTTTCAATGTCTGTCATAGCTACACCGAGTGACCGATCGCTTTGAAACGTTCAGCGATTGCTAAGAGCAACAGCATGTACAAAATGTATATCTCAGAATTTTGATATCGATGACCTAAGGTCAGGTCAATTTTGCGACCTCCCCATTATAAGTCAATGGGAGAAAATTGAAATGCGCCTCTTTTGGACGAAAGACATTATAAACACTCCCAAACACCGAATTACAAGTGGTTTAGACACACTGAACATGAAAATGGTGTCCAAGAGCCTTGTTTATGCCCTGAGGTCATCTTAGGTCACGAATAGTATCTAACAGTTTTCCGCAAATAACTTTTGATAGAGGCATGCTAGAGCGATGAAAATGCCTTAGATGTGTTCAGCTTGACGATACGGATCGACTGATATGCATCATGACCCTTTCCGGTCAGGTCATGACCTTGACCTGAGGTCAAATTTTCAAGTTGACCTTTCAAGGTCAACTTATAGTTCATTCGATGCGTCTTGACGAGAGGAACACGATGCCGGTAAAAGTAAGCTCGTACAAGGCTTAGGTCAAAACTTATTGCCGGAAAACTGTTTCCGAAAAAATCGGCTATTTTTGCATTTTTGCCCCCTTCAGGCAAAACTTAAACCGTTGACGTTAGGTCAAATCTGAGAGAATTACTCAGAAAGGGCGTTAATAGGGCTATCGAATGCGCTTTTCCGCGGCGCTGTAGCTCTATTGGTTTCCGAGTTATGCGTTATCTTCTTGGAAATTTTCGATATTCGACCTGGAAATCGGCGAAATTTTGCCTTCAATGACCTCTGGTGACCTGACCTTTGACCTGACCAAAAAATTGACCGAAGTGATTTCGTCATTATTTTTGACGCTCTTTCGAACGCCGCCTTCCGCGTATCGCTACGTGGCCCAGGAGCCGAGTTACAAGGGGGGGTGTTCAAACACCCCCCCCCCCAGCAGGGCGTGGAAATCCAGGACCCCCAGCCGGGCGCAGGTTAATACTAATCATACTAACTTGGCCCACCTGAAAGGGTAGACTATTGTCATCCGGATGGGTAAAATGCGTCAGTGCGTTGCAATTAATGGACTTTTGGCTACAGATACGTAATGAACACAATTACAGTTTTCAATGAACCCATTATTTACCAATATATTTGCATTTTATTTCACAAAACAATACATCATGACCAATTTGGCTGTGAATATTTTTTCTCACTATAATTTGTCTCCATGGCTGCCAGTCTAGATTCCCCGGTATAAAAAGAAAACACACACATGTAACGACGTCATGAATGAGCTGTCGATTTGATAAAGGTAAGCTGCGACAGTTTTGGGATGGGTTGCATCTCTACCACACAAGCTAGCATATTCTTTTGACATTTGACTCTTGACTTTTTCATTTCATTTAACCCTCGCCCTGGCAGGGGGGGCGGTTCGATGCGACCCCCCTAAGGTTTTTCGAAGATAGCGTAAAAACGGCGGCGCACAGCGCCGCAAAATTTGGCACAGTCTATGGGGCAACCTTTGTACATATGACCTGAAAATTTCAGATCCAAGTGACTTTGGGTCAGGTCACCAGGTCAGAAAAACCGGTAAAAGGTCATGGTCAAATTTCAATTTTCTTTTTGCACCTGTCCAACTCACAGTTTTAGACTGATTTCCTTCAAACTTTCAGGATGTGCTAAGTTCACCGAGTTGTATAGCATATAGTTCGGGTTTTTTGATGTCACTGACCTGAGATCAGTTACAGGCAAGGCTATATAAACCAGGTAGAACGCTCCCGAAGAAAAGTGGTGACAAGCAATATTTAGTTGCCGCGACCCTCACTTGTTCAAGACTATATCCGCAAGCAGCATTTACAAGCTAGCGGAAATCGACCAATCGGCGTTCGGCAATACTCAACGCTGATTGGCCCGATGCTCGTGACGAAATTGCGGGGGACTGCAGCCATTCCCCTATGGCGTTTCATTGACTTATGACTTTTGAAGGGGATTTGTATCAGTTTTTGTTGGGTTTGAGGCCATTTTTGAGCTTGGATATTCTTTCCGTGACCTTTGACTATATAATAACGACATTTAATCATGACATTTCTATATACTACCGGTGTCACATCGGCCAAAAAGACCGTAAGTACATGGGATAGACGGACCACTGCTGATGGGGCCACACATGCCGGCGTGTGGTCATCGGAGGCCCATGAGGGCTCGACATGGGCCCTTTGTGGGTCGGTATAGGCCCAGTGGGTCCAGTGCAGGCCTACCAGGGGCCGGTGGCATATAATGTAAGGCTGTCTCGGGACGTTGAGGGCTCATGGGGGCCATATAGGACCATTAGGGACCACATAAGCCAATCAGGGGTCCATTTAGGCCAATAAAGGCGCTTCAGGGACTTGAAGAGGCCATTCAAGAGCCGTGGTGGGCCCATGAGGGGACGGCATTGGTCCATCAGGTGCAGTCAGGGGATGTTGTACGGGTTTCTCAGTGGCCCATTTGGGCATATCAGTGACCAATTTAGACCCAGCAGGGGGCTTTGTAGACCTATCAGGGGCTGGTGATGGTTTATCGGGGGTCAGCGTTAGTCCATCGGATCACGGCATATGCCCATCAGAGGTAATTGCGGGCCCACGCTGAACAATGATGGCCCTTCAACGGCCCCTAATGGATCTAGATTGACCCATGTTCCATGATGTGTCATGTATGCCCCTATGGCAGGCCTACTCAGACCCCTGATGGACGTTCCCGGCCTCTGATGACCCTGTACTGAATCCTGGTGGGGGCTCTAGGAGTCTCCAATAACCCTTCTTCAGCCCATTATTACCATACGCTGGCACTAGAGGCCCCACATCAGCCGCAGGGCAGTCCGTGCCAAGACAGCATGTCTTTTCGGCCGATATTACATCGGCAATATTAATTAAAATCATGATTTTATGGTGCCATTTTATAGCTAACAGTCATAAGAAATATATTTCAACTCGAAAACAGCTCGAAACAGCATATAATCTTAAAGAAACCCCTCCGAAATCCAAAAGCCTATTCGGGTCCATAGAGAATAACTGCGGTCCCCCGCAATTTCGTCACGAGCGTCGGGCCAATCAGCGTCGAGCACTGCCGAGCGCTGATTGGTGGATTTTCCGCTAGCGCGTGAGTACTGCTCGCGGAACAAGAGTTCGTCGACAATCCTCCACAAACGTCTGTCACCACTTTTCGTAATGCTAAACAGCCGGAGCGTACCCCCTGGTTACAGGTCATTACGTCGTAATGTTAAGCCTATGGGAAATACTAAATTGGGAAAATACTGGAGATATCCGCTTCGTTCTATCACTTTTGTGCTTTGAAACCACAGTATGTAACAGCAGGTCACTTGGTGCTTCTTTGGTTGGTGTACTTATCCATGGGTCAGGTCAAATGAGGTCAACTGAGGTCAAATGACGTTTTTACCAATAACTTGGCACATAATGAAGCTAGAGCGTCAAAATGGTGTCATTGTGTTCCTGGTGATCAGCCGAATCGAATGTTATGCGATATCATGCAATTTGGTTTAACTTGAACTTAATTAATTAATTAAAGTTTACTTAATGATTCAGAAAAAAAAACTTTAAGTACACTTAGCTAAAAAGTATATCATTCGACGCGCCTTGACGTGCTGGGTTCACTGGTGCTTTTCTTTCTGTTCTATCGTAATCACATCAAAAGGAAAAAGCGAAAAACTTTCGAACTGTTTTCCGCGAAATATTTACATTTATACCCCCCAAAACCCCCCTAAATATTTACCTAGAGCAACTAAATTTGCACAGGGGTGAGAAATCTAGGGGACCCACCTACCTACCAAGTTTGGTGTTTCTAGGTGCCATAGGAGCCAATCGCGAGGGGGGGGGGGGTCGCATCGACCTCCCTGTCAAGCCGTGTTATGAAAAATGCCCTGCCAGGGCGAGGGTTAATCCCGGGTAGAATTTGCGTTAAAAGAAACTCCTCGTCATAACATTTCGCGTGGTACCACATCCACACTCATTTTCCTGTGTGCTCCACTTCCGGAGTTTAGTTGGATATAGAAGAAAAACGCCTCGGGACACTAATGATTGGCTCCACCTTTCCCTCAACCCTGCCCAACTGGGCTCAACAATGCATAAAAATACCAACACACATAATTTATACCTTTTCGTAGTCATTTTCTCGACGCCCCTACAGTGGATCAATCGGTAGCTTGCTTGAGTATAGGGAATGCCGAATGCATCACGAATGCATTGCAAGACCGATAGTTGTTGAACGACGGCCAATGTTGATGAGGTCGATGATTTTATGTGCTGCAGGAGCAGAGGCTGATGAGCGAAGTAAGCCAGCACCGTAAACATAACTTGGTTTATTGAGATCGGTTTGATAGGGAAGCACGGGCCCCTTGAGGCATCTCTGTGAAGTCGTCATGGGTTAGCCATGCCACAAATAAAAACATTTCATACCTACTTTGACAGAAGTGAGTTTGTCAGAAATTTGACCGAGGTGTAGCGGGACTTCCAATTCTGGCTTGGAAGCTCCTGGCCTTAGACGTCAGCGTCAAATACGTCATCATAACACGTACTAATGTCTGGTGGGTGGTATATAAACGGACCGGAGCAGCGACTATTGCAGCATACTCACAGGACTAGTGTGGTGTGTGCACCGTGGACACATCGCCAGGAGCCTCAGGTACGACTCACGGTTGTGGTGGCTCAAACTTCCCTTCTTTCCATAGCCATGCGTTATAATGTAATGTAATGTAATAGCCGTTTTCACGACGGGCTATCTGGCAAATGCACGTAATTTGACTAGCTCTGCACCAAGTCTCTTTTACAACAAATATCTTCATATCATTATTTTATTTCAGTGTTTTAACCCGCGCGGGGCTGGGGGGGGGTAAATTTTACCCCCCCTCACGAATTTTTGCGATATCTCAAAAACGGCGGCGCGCAGCGCCGCCAAACTTTCAGTACCTTTTCTTACATCAATTTGACACCTTCCCTGAAAATTTGAGCGAAATCCGTCGGAAAATTTTTGAGTAATTGACGTTTTAGTGACGTCATGTTCGCCATTTTCGCCTCAAAAACGGCAAAAGTTCAAACGCCGCTAACATCTTCATTTTTAAAGGAATCAAGACGTAACAAAAAAGGTTATACGTAATTTTACTTTGTCTATCAAATAGTTATCTCGGTTTTTTGAAAATTTTGGATTTTGGCTTAAATTTTTTCAAAAAACTGATTTTTTGGGGAAAATCATTATAAAATCCAAAATTTTGAGTCTATCGAAAAAACCGGAATATATGTCAGAGAAGTAGTCTATGTGCACCTACATACCAAATTTTAGAAGAATCGGTTCAAAAATGTGGGAGTTATTCAAAATTTTATGACGTCACGACACACAAATGTTTTGAAAAATGACTTTTTTGGAAGTTCTAGACCTCGTACGGAAACAAAAATAGCACCATTCGATTCACCGTGAAAAACTGCATCAGATAGACATCTTTTTAGGCCTTAACAACCAACTTCAAAATTTGACCTCACTTGACCTGACCTTGACCTGACCTCGACCTGAAATTCATCCAGAGGTGGTCCATATCACTTATTGAGTGTGCCTATTGAATTCTATGAGTAAAATGACCCATAAAACATGTGTCGCACATGCCCTTTTCTATATTTTGTTTTTTGGTGACCTGACCTGACCTGACCTGACCTTGACCTTGACCTCTGAATGATATTGTATGCAACGAATATTGTCTTGGTAGCCTAAGAACACGTTTTGGGCGATCAGTCTCAGTCCATGACTCCATTCTTCGGCAACTACGGTGCAAGGCCGATACTGTAGAAACTTGCAATTTGTACCCTTGACCTGACCTTGACCTTGACCTCAAACTTTAAATTAAGTACATGTTTTTAGTAGTTCGTGATGAGAGCTTTCGATTGGCGTTTGAATTTTCCAAATCGGACCATTAGTTCGGGAGATAACAGGGGGGGGGGGTAAAATTTACCCCCCCCCCCCAGCCCCGCGCGTTCGGCTGGAGACCCCAGCCCCGCGCGGGTTAATGGAAAGTAAGGTCTGATAACTTGAAAAGTGAGGCCGATAAGCATCCATGTAAACCAAACTGACCAATTCTAAGAAGCACAATAAACCTAATTTGACCAAATCTGCACCTAACCTGCACCAGATGTGTATCAGATGGCCGTCGTGAAAACGGCTAATAGCAATGTTCGAAACCTATGTAGTATGTAGTGTATTACAGCAATGTTTTTCACACACTGCATTCTAACTAGCTGACCCTACGTTTTCCAAGTTTTTTTTATGTTATTTGTGAAATAAGAAAAGCAACTTAATTCTGTTATAGTAACTTCATAGTAACAATCGTAGTTACACATAGTAACTACATACTGATACTCTTATAAATTGCTGAAAGTTTCAAGGCGTCGATGTAGCTTTGACGAACATTCTAACTTCTTCTGAGATTAGGTCACTTGATGTGACCTGGTAACCTGACCTTGAGCGACCTGGGTCTGAAATTTTCATAACATGTGCGGAAACGATGCATGAACAGATGCAAAAAGAATAGCGGTGCGGAGCGGTGCCGTTTTTTTGCGGAGCTGCTCGGCGCAGGTTAATAATCAAACTGCCATGAAAAAATTAATTGAACTTCAGAACAAGCCTTCGAAAGTTTTTTTCGAAGAGTATGTGCAGCAACTTTGACTTTCTTTAGCTTTCTACATAGTTGGTGAATTAACATATAAACGTAAATGAAAGCACTAAGCGTAATCGACACAGCTTTTGGAGCATCAGTGGACTTTCTCAACAATCAGCAACTATGGATCGGTCATCATGTCATAGCCAGTGACCTCATGTTTCCCTTTCCAGAATGATACGGACCGGCCTGCTGGTTGCTGCTGTCCTGGCCTGCGCTCTGGCGCGGCCAAGAGTGGCGCAGTACGCCGAACCGGATGCGGTTCCCGTCGCGATCGCCCCGGCCAGCGCCGCTCAGGGCACCTCGGGCGGCACGATCACCAAGAGCGAGACCAACCTTCCCGGTGGCGGCACAACGAGTGTCGTCCAGCAGGGCTCCAACACCGGCGGCCGGGCCAGCGGCGGTGGCTTCAACGTCGGCTCCGCCTCCACGAACGCGCAGAGCCTGCAGACGGCGCACGGCACCACCTCTACGTCCGACACTGACGCACAGTCGGTACAGGGCTCCAGCCCCACGTTCCAGGGGCTCCCCGGCGGAGCCGTTCCCTTCGGCCAGCAAGGCTTTAATCCAGGTCTCTTTCGCCTTGGTCAGCAGGGTTTTAATCCCAGCCTAGGCGTATCTGCATTCCCCGGCGGCTTCCCATCCCCTCAGGCACAGGGAACATCTGGCAGTCAAATCACCAAAAGTGAGACTGTCAACCCCTTCGGCGGAACCATGAACGTCGTCCAGCAGGGCTCCAACACCGGTGGCCAGGCCAGCGGCGGTGGCTTTAACGTCGGCTCTGCGTCCAGCGACAGCCAGAGCCAGCAGACTCCGTTCGGCACCAGCACTACGTCCGACACTGACGCGCAGTCGGTACAGGGCGGCGGGCCCGCGTTCCCTGGCGGCCCTGGATTCACTGGTGGCTTCCCCGCTGGGCTCCAGTACCCAGGTCAGCTGGGCGGATGTAACCCTGCTGCTCTGCAACAGCCAGGACAAGCTGGCGCGGCCGTCCCCATTCAAGGCTTTGTTAACCCTCAAGCCCAGGGAACATCGGGCAGCCAGATCACCAAGAGCGAAACCGTGAATCCCCTCGGAGGCACTACCAACGTCGTCCAGCAGGGCTCCAGCACCGGTGGATCGGCGAGCGGTGGTGGCTTCAACGTCGGCTCTGCGTCCAGTGACAGTCAAAGCCTGCAAACAGCTGAGGGTACCAGCACCAAGTCTGACACTGACGCACAGTCGGTCCAGGGTTCCGGCCCCGCAGGCGCTGGTGGTTTCCCGGCTGGGTTGCAATACCCAGGCCAGCCGGGGGGCTGCAACTATGCTGCCCTGCAACAACCAGGACAGGCTGGCTTTGGCGTGGTGCCTTTCCCTGGCGGGTTTGGAAATCCTCAAGCCCAGGGAACATCTGGCAGCCAGATCACCAAGAGCGAAACCGTGATCCCCGGAGGGGGCACTACTAATGTCGTTCAGCAAGGCTCTAACACCGGCGGTTCAGCGAGCGGTGGTGGTTTCAACGTCGGCAGGGCCTCCAGTGACAGCCAAAGTCTGCAGACAGCTGAGGGCACCAGCAGCACGTCAAACACGGACGCACAGTCGGCCCAGGGTGGCGGCCCCGTATTCCCTGGTCGATTTGCATTCCCCAGTGGATTTTCGGCTCCCCTGCAGCAACCAGGACAGCCTGGCTTCGGTGTGGTGCCTTTCCCCGGCGGCTTTGGAAATCCCCAAGCCCAGGGAACATCTGGCAGCCAGATCACCAAGAGCGAGACCGTGATCCCCGGAGGGGGCACCACCAACGTTGTCCAGCAGGGCTCCAACACTGGTGGCCAGGCCAGCGGCGGTGGCTTCAACGTCGGCAGGGCTTCCAGTGGCAGCCAGAGCCAGCAGACTCAGTTCGGCACCAGCACTACGTCCGACACTGACGCGCAGTCTGTACAGGGCTCCAGTCCCGGATTCCATGGGTTCAATGCCGGTCTGCAGTTCCCACACGGCCAAGGCCACGGAGCCATCACACCGGGCCAGTACGGCAATGCTGGCCATCTCCAAGGCTTCCAAGGTTTGCACGGCTTCAATCCGAATGCCCAGGGAACCTCCGGCAGTCAGCTCGTGAAGAGTGAGACTGTGAACCAGTTCGGTGGTACCGAGCAGGTCAACAAGCTGACGTCGGGCACTGGCGGCTCGGCCTCCGGCGGCGGCTTCAACGTCGGCTCTGCCTCTGGTGACACCCAGAGTCTGCTGACGCCGCACGGCACTAGCACGTCCTCCAACACGGACGCCCAGTCGGCGCAGGGCGCCGGCCCCACCTTCCACGGTGGGTTCGGGTTCCAGGGCCTGCCGTTCGCCGGACTCGGAAGCGCCACGGGCCGGGCCGACAGCGGTCTGACCTCGGCCAAGACAACGGGTGCGGACGGCAGCCACAGCACCGTCACCCAGCTGGGCTCCTCGGCCGGCGGCAGCGCCAGTGACGGCGGCACCAACGTCAGCAAGTCGTCCGGCAGGACGTCCAGCGTCACCACCGGCGCCGGCACCGAGACCCAGTCGCATGTCGACTCCGAGTCGGTCCAGACTGGCCGCTAAACTGCCAGCCACCCCAACCCACAGGCAGTGTAAGGCATCATCAGGCTCCACTCGATCCCGGCGGAAGTGTGGCCAACAGTCATGTGTGCTTGGCTTATGCATTGAAGTGTCACCACGCTTGGTGGATTGATTGGGCCGTATAATGATGATACTTTCATACATATGCGTGATATTCCAAAAGTTTTGTTGCTGTTAACGTCGGCAATAAAGTACATTGAAGGAAAACGAAACTTTGTCTGTATTAGTTAGCATATTTGCGCTAATTCAACAGTGCGAAGTCCACCCACGCCATGTGTAGTGTAATTGGTTGAAATAACCGGAGAAAAAAAGTAGGTAAGTGAAATTCGCTGGATAAAGCAGTCCTTTCAACTGATTAGGCATTGTTAATCACCATGACAATCAAATTTCACGCTTTGCAAATAATAAGGAAGAAGCGCCTTTGGTTGTACCTAAACGAATCCCAGGCGTTCATGGTGTGTCAGAAGTGGAAATAGCCGTACGGCTTTAGTTCTCCAGCCTTGTCAAAAGATGGCAGTAGGGTAAGGTGCCTAATTAGCGACCCCTTTAACCTGGCAGTTGCTGGGGTATTTCGCCACTCGCAGTTTGCTGGGGGGGGGGGGGAGGGAGGGCGTTAAACGCCCCCAGCCGATAACTCGAGAACCAATTGGCGCAGCGAAACGCACGAGGCGGCAAACGAAAGAACGCGACGAGACGCTTCAGATGAACACTTTAAAAGTTGAATTTTGAGGTCACGGGTCGGGTCAAGGTCAGGTCAAACACCTGAAATCGGGCTATCAGTAGCATGGACTTCAGGACTTCGCAATGGGCGCCTCTCGTCATAAACTCTGTCAAAACGGTGCACAATCCTTCATATAAGGCCTAAAAGAATGTCAGCTCCATGTAGGGGTCAGTCAAGCATAGGTCAGGGTCAAGGTCAGGTCAACCGGGTAGGCACATATCCCCGAAAATCAAAACTGATATTGGCAGCCTGTGGCACATGTTTTATGAGTAGTTTTGGGCGTAGAACACGATGGTGACATTCATTTTATTATATTTGTACGTGTTTGGTTCAAAAAGTTCAATTTAAGAAATGCATGTGTCATGGTCGTGAAGTAGTCACGAGAAATTGCCAAGATTCAGTTCAAGATTTTGGAAAATGCGGAACGATTATCAATAATCGAAGATAACTATTTCATTGTTCATGGTATTGGCAGTCTAATGGCGTTTACAGCATGTCTGTTTGTCTATTCTGTGATTTTATATGATTTTTTTTAACATATGCCGTTTTTGGTCAAAAACTCAGAAATCATGACGTCACTAAAACCGCGATATCTAAAAGAAAATTCCGACCGATTTTTTTGAAAACTTGTCACAAAAACATTCAAACAATTCCCTACAGGTACCCAAATTTTGACGCGCCTGTGGCGCGCCGTTTTTATGTATAGCGTGGCGAAAAAAGTGGTGGCGTTTAACGCCCCCCCCCCTAGCAACTCGCGGGTTAATTTGAACCGTCATTGCGCACGTTCTATGGGTGCCACTGCATTACTGGCTTGATTTTCGGACAGATCGTTCATTTTTCTATTAAATTCTAATCATTGTCTGCCCCAATATCCACTAATTTATTTGTAGTGAGCATTTTTGCAAGTCATTGCAAAAAAAAAAACGCAAATAGCGAACTCCAGTGGCGCGGGAACCGGGGGGGCTAGCGGGGGTTGAGCCCCCCCAGCTTTTCGGCTGGGGGCTCGTAATGTATTTGAGCCCCCCCCCCCCCAGCTGGAGGAATCGAAATCGGAAATCTACCAACATAATTTCATAGATTCATACATAGGCGCGGGAACTGGGGGAGGGGGCAGTGGGGGAAGCTTGCCTCCACAACTCTGCGGCCGTGGGGGCGGTGCCCCACAACGTTTCATGAGGCCAGGAATCGTTGGGCAGCTTGTCCTCCCCAAATTAGGGGTTGTGGGTCGCAAAGGAAGAAAGCATGTGAGTGAAAAATCCACCTATTTCACTGGCTCGGCAACAGATTAAAACCTTTACTCCAGGTTGCCAAAACGGTAATTTCTTCTCTCAGCTGAGACGGAATACCTCACTTTTTGAAAATATTTTCGTTTTTTTTTGTTGTTGTTGTTGAAAAGGCCAAGGTCTGAAAAATAAGTGGCCTAAAACCGGTGAGAAAACTAGATTTGAGGGTACCTTAGGTTGATTTCTACTATGGTTTAGCCCCCCCCCCCCAGTCTGGAAGAAGTTCCCGCGCCACTGGCGAACTCGACCCGATTAGCGACCGGGGAGGGTCGCTAATAAGTCAATGGGTTTTCCCATAACAAAAATGGCAAAAAAATGTGACGTCTAAAAAGTTTGATATGAGCCCAAAAAAGGTAACCTATACTAAAAGCACTCAATAACTGGAACAGGGGCGTTTATCCAACACCTTTATGAGAGTGTCAACTGATCACGTGATGCACCAAAGGCGAAAATAAGGCAAAAACCCCAGTTTTGCAATGGTTGAATAGAAATAAAAGAAAAGTAGAAAAAGTCCTCCAACCTTCATCCTCACAAAAAGTGCAATTCCCCGTGTGTCGCAAATGCATGCCTTTTGTGTACTCGTATGCTCGTCACCACATTTCTACCAACGTTTTAATGAATATGCTGCGGTCTGTGCTAAGCGATAAAATGGTGTTTTTCACCACTCTGCCCTGCAGTGTATGTACATCCATGATCCAGTGTCAATAGCATTTCTGAATACGGCAAAGTAATCAAGGATGTGGTCAGCGGAAGAATTACAAGGTATTTACTATTTATCATTGGCACGCCCACAATGGTGATTTTGTTTTTGCGATTCTTATCACTGGTTTGACCACTGGAGAGATTAAGTTATTTTTAGCCACCCATTACGATTCGGTGCATTTGCCGGCTCCTTATTAACTCGGACTGCCAAATGCCAATGCCACTTCGTCCAGAACCCAAATCGATTGATTTTACCATGTGTTTATTTCACATTCTTGTCTTTATTCACATATTTCCCATAGGCATTGATTCAATCGAAACAATGAAGCTCACGGCCCGTCAAAGCTGACAATGTTACAAACATGAAATAATCTCAGACAATAACAATAGTTTCTGAATGCAGTTGGGCCCACTGGCTCGTTTCAAACAGCGATGTTGACTTGGCAGAGGAACAGGTCACCAAGAGGTTACCGGCTCACCCTGCCCTGTGCCTTTGTGACGCCCTTCCGCGGCGTCCCGGGAGTTGCTCCATAGCCGAGGCGTGCCAGACCAGACCAGACTAGGCCAGGCGGCGGCCTACCGGCCGGTGCTCTGGTTGGACTCGGCGTTCACGTTGCTGCTGGTCTGGGAGCCGAACGGCGTGTTAACGTCGGTGACGCTGCCGGAGGCCTGGTTGGTGCTGATGCCGCCGTTGGTGGCGCTGCCGCCGGCCGAGGAGCCCAGCTGCGTGATGGTGGTCTGGCTGCCGTCCGGTCCGGTGGTCTTGCCCTGCGTCAGCTGGCTGCCGGCGGTACCGGCGGCCGTGCCAAACCCGGGGAGCGGGGGGAAGGGGAAGCCGGGCAGCACCGGGTTAGAGCCTTGGTTGGAGACGGCGCTCGTCTGCGAGTTGCTGCCCTGCGAGAACAGGTTGCTGAAGCCGACGGTGGAGGCGCCGGCTGAGCCCTGGTTGAAGCCGCCGTTGGCCGCCTGGCCGCCGGTTTCCGCCTGCTGCTGAGTGAGGACCGAGGAGCCGCCAGGGACGAACGTCTCGCCCTTGACCACGCCGCTGGTCGACTGGCCCGACGACTGGGGCACCGGGAACGGGACGGGCGTCAGCCGCTGCTGCGGCCGCGCCACGGCGCAGGCCGTCACCGCCAGCAGCACCAGACCGGAGCGGAACATTCTGGAACAAAGGCGGAAACAAGCGCGTCACCGGCTGGCCGGAGCAATGCTGCATGCCTGGATATTCCAGCTCGAAACGGTCACTCGCAGAGATCGTTACATCAAATCCTGCCAAATTGCATTGCACTCATTTGGCATGGTTCTATTCACTTAGCTTTCTCTACTCCATCATCTTCAATCGTGTCACACTATATGCAATGAAAGTAAAAACAAAAAGTAAATAATGGTATGTTTAATGAAATCGCAACAAGGATTACAATCATCGATCATGCAGCGAAATTACCAGAAAAATACAGAAAATGTATCTGGTAGGTAAATGGAACTTCTGTACCTATAACAGTCAATTGAACTGCTAGTTTTATTTCTGTCACGCTGCTACACTGAGTCCGTTTATAATCGCCCCGCCGCGCCGGTGCGCTGCTGCTGCTGAATTGAGCGCGACTCACCTGTCGGATTAGAGGGGTTGGTGGTGGTGGTGTGTGTGTGTGTGTGTGTGTGCTGCCAGGTAGCTGAGTGTCGGTAACCGGCGCCGCCGCGGCTCTTATACCAGTCGCGTCGCGCACGTCATCAACCGGCCCCGCTGCCGGCGGCGCCGGGTTCCGCGCAGCGCGAGCAGCTTACCTGGCCGGCCGCGGAGCGTCCGCCGCTTCCTCACTTGGCTGCCCCCCCCTCCTCCCTGGCCGGTGTCGGGTGAGCCCGCAGTAACTCTTCTCATAACCATATGCTGATCGACCTTCGGCAGCGCCGAGTGCGGTCGGCTGACCAAACCACAAAGCCCACCGGCCACTTGAATGGTGCGCATATATTCCGTCGCGTCCGGGGCGCCAGACTACCCTCGTAATGCAGAAATGTGTTGTCGATATTTAGTTACATCGTTTTCTAAAAAAAGCGGCCAAATTACCCCACTCGCCCCTATGTGTTCTATCATATATATTCCGTTTCTTTCGAAAAGTAAAAAGGTTATATGCACAAATTTTGAAAATACACTGTTGAGATCTTATCTATATGTGATCTTATCTTATATGTTACAATTATCGTACATATAGGTAAAGTTGCTACATTTGGCATTTTTCAAACTTTGGAAAATCCGATATAGCAGTTTCAGAGCGTTTTGCATGTGGAGCGCTCTGATGCAAAGAAATTAGTTCTATGTAGCATTAAAAGTGAGCTCTTGAGAGCAATTGCTGTATTTCAATGTTTTGCATCAAAATCCGCCGAACAATCCGCGTCACTCTGATGTTGGCCGACTTAACCCGCGCACCGACGGGGGTCTGCGCCAACTTCGCACCGACGGAGGGGGGGGGGGCGGATGACCGCCCCCCCCCCTGAGATCTCGAGAACGAAGCAAGATAGCGACAAGCGGTAAACGGCATCGGATACGCACGGACAAGGTCTACAATTTTTACAAAGGTCATTTTCAGGTCAGGTCAAAGATGACGTCACAGGGGTCGAAAAAGTCAAAATGGCGGCGCTAGATATGGAGAGTTTTTCTCGAATAACTTTCGAATTGGTCAAGCTAGGAACAAACTAAGGGCATCATCGTGATCCTCTCGTCAATCCGCATCGAATGATATATATGTTGACCTCGAAAGGTCAAGGTCAAAGGTTGACCTCAGGTCACGTGACCTCGAGGTCATCATGTATATCATTCGATGCGTCTTGACGAGCTGAACACAATGAGACCATTCGCGCGGCTGTATCGCGTTCCTGTACGGAGTTATTGGCAAAAAACCGCTGGTGACCTTTGATGACGTCACATGACCTTACAGCTGCCCAACAGCAAAACAGACCTCAAGGTAGTGAAGGTTGATCGTATATGAAGTTATGTATGGTATATGGGGCCATTCCGACCCGTTTTAGTGGTAAAAACAGGGAGTTGATTTTTCCCCCATTGACTTATAATGGGGAGGTCGCGAAATTGACCTGACCTTAAGTCACCGAAATCAAAATTCCGAGATAAACTAATTGTAGCTACTAATGACCTTATAACATCCTGCGACTTTCAAAGGTCTCCGACATCTACTGTAGCTCTGGCACGGTGACAAAGTTGCAAAAAAGTGACTTGAGGTTGGGTCATTCAAAGTACCTGGTGACCTGACCTTAAAAGTTAGGAGGTTCAAATTTGCACACCATGTGTAAAATTAATGACAAAACATTCGTACCAAATTTCGCGGCGCTACGCGCCGCGGTTTTCCCGCTATCCGCGAAAAATCTCAGGGAGGGGGGCGGATATCCGCCCCCCCGTCGGTGCGCGTGTTATGGTAGGTACAAATTCTTATTTGCACACAGACACAAGGTGTCAAATTGGTGCAGTCTGTTATGTTTTGGTTCGTTTCGAGTGAAAGAGCACACAATCAATGAAAAACGCGATTTATTTACTGCGATACGTTCAGGCCGAAAGAGTGTCCAAAAAGAGAAACAAGTATGGCGAGCGCCGCGCCTAGTCGCCCGCGCCAGCTCTGCCGCTCGGCGCGCAGTCAGCTGGCGGCGGCAGAGGCGCTCACAGGCATGGAGCCGGGGCGGCCAGCGGTGGCGGCGGCAGGGGCGCGCGCAGGCGCGGCCAGCAGCCGTGCGGGGGCTGGACCATAATACAACACCTCCCCCCCAAGACGATCACATCGTCTTCACTCCAAGGCGCCACAGCGGACCCTCCGGGGTCCGGGCGCACAAGGCCACCGCAGCGCGGTGCAGACGGCGGCGCCTGCGCTCTCTTCCGCGGCGTCTCAGGCGCTTCTTGCAGCGGACGCGCCCGCCGTCGCACGGGGAGGTCCGCGGCAGGCGTGGCTCCGGTGTCGGTGGCGGCCACGGGTCGCGGTCAGCGGCGGCTCTGGTCACCCTTAGACTCGGGGCCACGAGCGGCGGCAGACGCGAGTCGCACTCCGTATCCCGCTCAGCGAGCATAGCTGCGACGGCAGCTGCGTGAAGCGGGTCCTCAGCGTCCTCCCACACCTCGTCATCGACGGTCGGACCGAGCACGTCATCCACCACCTCGACCGAGTGGAGGGTGGTGTCACCGAGGTTCGTGTCACCGCGCCGGTCGGACTTGTCACCGGCGGACACGCATCCCTGCGGCGTACGGAGGAGCGCGGCGGCGTGAGCCGCTACTATTTGTTCGGGCGGGTCTATGTCCCCACTCCGTACTGGCAGGCCTCCCGCCGGCGGCGGCGAGGCTCCGTAGGCGTCAGCCAGCTCGGTAGGCTGCGCCGCATGACTACAGCCGGCTTGGCCGGTGCCCGCCGGCGGCGGCGACTCGGCGGTGCTGGCGGCTGGGCCTCCATCCGTGTTTCGAGTTGGCATGCCTCCCGCCGGCGGCAGCGAGGCTCCGTAGACGTCAGTAGTCTTACTCAGCTCGGTGGGCTGTGCCGCACAACAGTCGGCTTGGCTGGTGTCCCCCGGCAGCGGCGACACGGCGTAGCCGGCGGCTGTACCTCCGTCCCTGGTCCGCGTGGGTAGGCCTCCCGCCGGCGGCGGCGAGGCTCCGTAGGCGGCAGCCGGCCTGGTAGACTGCGCTGCAGTGCACCCAATCTGGCCAGTGTCCGCCGGCGGCGGTGACACGGCGGGGCCGGCAGCTCCACCTCGGCCCGTGCTCAGCGTTTGTAGACCTCCCGCCGGCGGCGGCGAGGCTCCGTAAGCTACAGCCGCTGCATCCGGGCCTGCAGGCTGCACCGCAGTGGCCCCGGGTTGGCCCATGTCCGCCGGCGGCGGCAACACGGCGTCACCAGCGGCTTCGTTTCCATGGCTGGTCCGCGTTGGAAGGCTTCCCGTCGGCGACGGCGAAGCTCCGTGGGCGTCAGCCGGCTCTGTAGGCTGCGCCGCGGTACATCCAGCTCGGTCCGTGTCCGCCTGCGGCGGTGACACGCCGGGGGCTGCCTCCATGGTCTGTGCTGGCCAGCCTCCCGCCGGCGGCGGGCAGGTTCCGCGCGCGCCAGCCGGCTCGGTGGGCTGCGCCGCGGTACGGCCGGCTCCTCTGCCCGTGTCTGCCGGCGGCAACGACACGGCGGCGCCGGTGGCTGCCGATGGGCCTCCCGCCGGCGGCGGCGAGGCTCCGTACCCTCGGTCCGTGCTCCAAGTTGGGATACCTCCCGCCGGCGGCGGCGAGGCTCCGTAGGCGTCAGCAGCGTCACTCAGCTCCGTGGGCTGCAGCGCAGTGTGCCCGGCTTGGCCCGTGTCCGCCGGCGGCGGTGACACGGCGGTGCCGGCGGCTACCGCTACTAGCGCCACCCCCGGAGAGTCTCGTACTCTCGTCACTGCAGATGGCGCCACCGCTGTGGTGCTGGCCCTCTGGTGGCACACCACCTCAAAATGTCCTGGTTCGCCACACGCACGACAGATGGCGCCAGCGGCGCGACACGTGTCTCCTCCGGCGTGCTGGCGACGGCCACAGGTAGGGCAGCGCTCAAGAAACTGACGATTGGTGGCGGCGGCGGCATGGGCGACACTCGGCCGACTGTGGTCCCTCTTGTAGGGCGACAGGTGGGCCACGAAATGTCCCTTGGTGCCGCAGAGGTCTTGGCACGTGACATGGGCACTCCACCTTTCCCCCACTGTCACGGCGTGTCTGAGCGTCGGCTCAGAGTCCTCCAGCCTGCTCACCGCTCTTGTCTCACTGTCGCGCACACTGCACTCGGCACGGGCTTTGAACGTCGAGGCCGACTTCGGTTGCGGGGCCGGAGTCGCCGACGCCGGCAGGCAGGCAGTCCGGCGGGCGGCGGCATCTGGTCCAACGGATCCATCAGCGCCTCGCTCAGCCCCCGACTCTGACACTCTGACTCCGGCCGTCGTGCCCGTCCCGGTCCCCGCGGAGGGCTCTCTGTACAGCAGCCTCTCCAAACGCTCCAGGCGCTTGTCGGCCTCGGCGGCTCTCTCCGTCTGCCTCTCCAGCAGCGCCGTCAGTTCTTGAATCAAAAATTTCTTCATCGCGCTGTAAGCTGCTCAGTCACGTAATAATTCACAAAACCGACCGCGCCATGTTATGTTTTGGTTCGTTTCGAGTGAAAGAGCACACAATCAATGAAAAACGCGATTTATTTACTGCGATACGTTCAGGCCGAAAGAGTGTCCAAAAAGAGAAACAAGTATGGCGAGCGCCGCGCCTAGTCGCCCGCGCCAGCTCTGCCGCTCGGCGCGCAGTCAGCTGGCGGCGGCAGAGGCGCTCACAGGCATGGAGCCGGGGCGGCCAGCGGTGGCGGCGGCAGGGGCGCGCGCAGGCGCGGCCAGCAGCCGTGCGGGGGCTGGACCATAATACAACACAGTCGAAGGTACTGCAAGTTTCGTGTCGATGCGTCCAGCGGTTTAGAAGATATTGCAGGAAAACGGGAAAGAGCTGGCTCTGTGGAGCTCTCCAGTCATGCTCGGGATAACCTGGGTAAATCCTGTCACTGCCTACATGCTGACATGAGGCAATAATTCGGACAATAATACATATCGTGCACGCTGAAACAGCGAAACGTCACAAACTGTTTTAGTTCGGGGGAAATGCACGAGGGTAAGGTTTTCAGTTCTCAGTAGATACATATGTCGGCACGCCGCGGCGGCA